ACTTATCTGAGAGTGGGCGGAAGGCTTCGCTCATGGTTATTCTGAAGGTGGTGGGGGCGTTGGTCAGTCCAAAGGGATCACGTGTCAAAGTTATATGACTTCGCCTGTGTAGGCTGTAGTGGGGTAGCACATATGGGGTACAACACATTTCTAGGGTTTCCTACTTGTACCCACTTTTTGCCTAGTGAATTCATTCCTCGTTTCTTCACATGGTATAGAGCAGGTTCCCTAGTGGGAACGCTTCCTAGGGCCCACCACGATCATTTTTTTTTTTCCTGCCCGGAGCACGCTTCGCTTCTGCCCGAGTCGCGCCCCGTGTGCCCTCCCTCCCGTCGCGTCCCTAGCCCTTAGCGGCCCGTCGCGCCCTCTTACGGCCCCTCGCGGCCCCTTTCACAGCCCCTCGCGGCCCCTTCGCGCACCCTTAGCGGCCCCTCTTACGGCCCTTCGCGGCCCCTTACGGCCCCTCGCGCCGCCCTTCGCGGCCCCCTCGCGGCCCCTTCGTGGCCCGTCGCCGCCCTTCACGGTCCCGTCGCCAACCTTTGCGGCCCCTCGCGGCCCCTCCACGGCCCCGTCGCTGCCTCCGCGGCCCTGTCGCCACCCTTCACGGCCTTGTCGCCGCCCTTCGCGGCCTCTCGCGGCCCCGTCTTGGCCCCGTCGCCGCCCTTCACGGCCCCTCACGGCCCCGTCACGGCCCCTTCGCCGCCCTTCACGGCCCCGTAGCCGCCCTTCGCGGCCCATCGTCGCCGCCCCTGCAGCAGCAGCCGCCGCCGCCCCTGCAACAGCAGCCGCCGCCGCCCCTGCAGCGGAAGCCGCCACCACCGGAGCCGCCGACAGCAGCGGCCGCCGCCACCTCAGCCGAGGCCGCAGCCGCCGCCACCGCTGACTGCAACCGCCGGTGCGCCTCGACCATGCCGGCGCGCCTCGGCCCGTCCCTACCGGCGCGCCTCGGCCCGCCCCAACCGGCGCGCCTCGGCCCTACCTGTGCGCCTCGGCCCGTCCCTGCCGGTGCGCCTCGGCCCTGCCCCACCATTTGCGACCCTCTGCCCTGGTAAGAGCATCGCCGCGCTGCGCTGCTACTGCTGCCACTGCTGCTCCTACTGCCACTGCTGCTCCTGCTGCCACTGCTGCTACTGCTGCCACTGCTGTCATGGCTACCCCTAGCGTCCTCGTCTTTGATGCTGAGGGTCGGGCTGTTAACTTTGAGGTCTGGGTCGATGATCTGCAGCTTTTCCTACAGTGCGATAGGAAAGATGGCCTCTCCCTGCTCGATCTCACGTCTGGTGCCTCTTAGCGGCCCCGTTGCCGCCCTTCCAGGCCCCTTGCGGCCCCTTCGCGGCCCCGTCGCCACCCTTCTTGGCCCCTCACGGCCCCTTCGCGGCCCCGTCGCCGCCCCTTTCGCGGCCCGTCGCCGCCCTTCCAGGCCCCTTGCGGCCCCTTCGTGGCCCCGTCGCCGCCCCTATCGGCCCCGTCGACGCCGCCAGCGGCCCCGTCGTCGACCCTAGCGGCCCCGTCGCCGCTCCTATCGGCCTCGTTGAAGCCGCCAGCGGCCCCGTCGCCGCCGCCAGTGGCCTCGTCGCCCACCCTAGCGGCCCCGTCGCCGCCACTTGCGGCCCCGGCCCCGCCCCGGCCATACCCCGTCGCCAGCCGCGGCGCACCGGGGGCACGTGCACCGCCCCCCCCCCCCTTTTCCCGCGCCCAGGGAGGCCGCGCGTCGCCCCTCCCCCCCCCCCCCCCGTAACCTCCCTACCCGCCATCCCGCCCTGCCCTGTGTTCGGGTTTGGGGGTGGCGAGTGGGGGGGTGGCGGGTGTGTGGTCTCCCCTGCTCCTCCTCCTCCTCTGTCTCCCACTGCTGCAGCTGCCGCTGAGGGGGGTGGGTGTGTGGGAGTCGACGGAGTGGTGCCAGGGGGTGGGGTGTGAGTGAACCTAGGGGTGCAGTAGGGGGTGTGTGAAATGGGGGTGGGATAGTTTGGGGAGGTTGAAAGGGGTGGCCGCCGAGAAGCCAGTAGCTCCAGTCGCCCGTGAGACCATTGCGCCAGTCGCCCGTGAGCCCGTTGCGCCAGTCGCCCGTGAGCCCGTTGCTCCAGTCGCTCGTAAGTCCGTTGCTCGTCTGCCGCTACTTTTAGTCGCAGAGCCAGTTACTCCATTAGCCCGTGTGCCACTTGCGCTTGTTGCCACTGTGCCAGTTGCTCTAGTTCCGATCAGAATATTATAGCTTATGCTGTTTTGTAGGCTATAGTGGGGTATCCCAAAGGGGGTACAACCCAATTAGGGTTTCCTATATGTACTCACTTCATTCATAGTTCATTCATTCTCGTTCTACTTTTCTCATGGTATCGAGCAGGTTCCTCCGTGGGAACTGTGCCTAGGGCCCACCACATCGATTATTTTTTTCCTACCCAAAGCGCGCTCGGCCTGAGTCGCGCTCCGGGCCCTCTCTCTTGCTTTGTCGAGCCGCCCTAGAGGCCCCGCCGCCCGTCGAAAAGGCCCCGCCGCCTCACACTCACGCGGCCCCGCCGCCTCCCTCGTCGCGGCCCCGCCGCCTCTCTTGACGCGGCCCCGCCGCCCTTCGTCGCGGCCCCGCCACCCCTCGTTGCGGCCCCGCCGCCTCTCTCGTCGCGGCTCTGCCGCCCTTCGTCGCGGCCCCGCCACCCCTGGTCGTGGCCCCGCCGCCTCTCACGTCGCGGCCCCGCCGCCTCTGCAGTCGCAGCCCTGCCGCCCTTCGTCGCGGCCCCGCCACCCTCCTTCGCGGCCCCGCCGCCTCTCTCGACGCGGCCCTGCCGCCCTTCTTAGCGGCCTTGCCGCCCTTCTTAGCGGCCTTGCCGCCCTTCGTCGCGGCCTCGCCGCCTCTTCTTCGCGGCCCCGCCGCCTCTTCTTCGCGGCCCCGCCGCCTCTTCTTCGCGGCCCCGCCACCTCTCCTTCGCGGCCCTGCCGCTCTTCGTCACGGCCCCTGCCGCCCTACGTCGCGGCCCTGCCGCCCCTCGTTGCGGCCCCGCCGCCATTCTCCACTGCGGCTCCGCCGCCCTGCACCGCCTGCTCCGCCCGAACCACCTGAGCCGCCCGAGCCGCCCGAGCCACCTGAGCCGCTGAGGAGCCGAGCCGCCCGAGTCCCCTGTGCCGCTGAGGACCCGAGCCGCTCGAGCCGCCTGTGCCGCTGAGGACCCGAGCCGCCCGTGCCGCCTGTGCTGCTGAGACCCGAGCCGCCCGAGCCGCCTGAGCCACCCGTGCCGCCCGAGCCGCATGAGCCGCCCAAGCCGCCTGAGCCGCTGGTACAGCGGAGCTGCTGTTGCTGCTGGGCCGTCCGAGCAGCAGTGTTGCCGTGTTGTTGTGCTGCTGAGCTGCCCGAACCGCCCTGTCTGGTGAGAGCAACACCTCTGTCACTGCACTACCCCTATCCTACAGTCAGTACTGCTAGTCTACTGCTGTCATGGCTACCCCTAGTGTCCTCGCCTTTGACGTTGAGAGTCAGGCCATTGACTTTGAGGTCTGGGTAGATGACATGCAGCTGTTCTTACAGTGCGATAGGGCAGACGGCCTCTCTCTCTTTGACCTCACCTCTGGCGCTTCCCCTGCCCCTGCTGCTGATGCTGACGCCACTGTTCGCTCCCAGTGGGCCACCCGCGACGCTGCTGCACGTCTTGCTGTGCGTCGCCACCTCCCTACCTCTGAGCGTGCGCACTTTAGTCAGTACAAGAGTGCTCAGACCTTGTACAACGCTGTAGTCGCGCGCTACTCCTCCCTGCACGGAGCCGTCTCATGCAACCGTACCTCTTTCGTGACCTTGCTGCCTTTCCCACAGTAGCTGACCTTATTACGCACCTCCGCACTAGTGATACTCGCTACCGCGCTGCACTTCCTGCTGACTTCTGCGCGAAGAAACCCCCCCCCACGTACATCACTCTCTACTACATGGTCACTCGCCTACCTGACTCCCTTCGTGTAGTCAGGGATCTTTTCCTCTCGGTCTGTCCCACCACTTTCACTGTCGACCTCCTCGAGAAGGCGCCCTCCTAGCGATAGAGAAGAGCATAGTCGCTGTAGGAGCCTCTCGAGGTGACCCGCGCACCCCCATCTTTGAGGGGTGTTCCCCCTCCCCCCTTCTGCCCTCTGTTGCCTCTACTGCTGCGGCCGACCTCCTTGGTCTTGAGTCGGTCGGTGCGGCGTCTGCCCCTAGCGGGAGACGCCGCCCTGGCAAGGGCAAGGGGGGCAAGGGCGCTGGAGGAGCGAGCGGGGGCGGAAGAGGAGGAGGTGGCGGCGGTGGGGGGAGTGGGGGTGGCGGTGGGAGTGGAGGTGGGGGTGGAGGGGTCGTTGGCGTCTGCGTGGTAGCCCCCACTTGCACCCGCCAGTGAGGGGTGCGCCGCCAGGAAGCATGAGGTGGCCGCACCCTGAGAGAAGGGAGGAGAGGAGAGTGGGGAGAGGAGGATACGGGGCGGTCAGGTGGAGGTGCAAGGAGTGTGTAACGGGGGGGGGGGGGGGGGGGGGGGGGGAGCGAGGCACAGGGGGTGTGCCTCGAGGCGGCACGATGCGAGAGTGGCTTGAGAGAGAGAGTGTGTGAGAGTAAGAATGGGCAGGGGGGAAAGGTTGAAAGATGAGGGAGCATGAGAAGTAGCCCCACTGGGCTTTGTTGCAGGGAGTGTGCACATGAGCATGGGGATAAGTTGGAACAACCATGCATGGGAAAGTACGCACACCCCCAACCATGCAGGATCAATCACCCATGGGTACAGAGCATTTACAGTCATACCTGCACTGAGGTTTTCAAAACAAACAAAAAAAAATCATAAGGGAGAGTGGGGAAGAAGAGGAAGAGATTTTTGGTGAGGAATTTGAGACGTAGCATGAAATGTGCTTTTTGGGCGCGTTTCCCCTGCCTGCTTCTTCCCTTCCCTCCCACTAATGCACACTCTCACGCACACATCCGCACACATACATACCCACCCACCCACCCAACTACACTCACACACACACCCACTCACTCACACAACACCCACATACCCACTCCTTCATACACACCCTCCTCTCCCACAGCCATGCACCTTGAGCCGCCGTGCGAGCTCCCGTGCGTGCAGGATATTAGCGAGCTTGGACTGCCCGTACGCCCTCACCGAGTCGTACCCCTCCTTGGCGTTGATGGCGTCAAAGCGGATGCCGCCCGGGTATGGGAACTGGTGCGCGGCAGAGGACACGATCACGATGCGCGCCTCTGCGCCCTCCTGCTTGGCAGTTTCCTTGAGCTTCGGCAGCAGCAGGTTGGTCAACAGGAAGTGGCCTAAAGGGGGTACGACGTGCGATGCAATTGGGTGGGGGGTGTGTGCAGGGGAAGGGGGGAAGAGGGTGAAAGGGAAGAGAGGGGGAGGGGGGGCGGAGGGACGGAAGAAAGGGGGAGAGGGAGGCAGTGGAGGTGTGGAGCGATCAGCCTGAGAGCTCCATGAGCTTAGGAATGCAACAAATGCACTCGAGCCTAGAAAGAGAACAGCCAACTGGTAGACTCTGCTTCACTCCCACCACTCCCATTCTTCCCTCACGCTCCACCCCGCCACCCATGCTGTGCGCATGTAATCTGCTTGCTTGCCTCACCCACTTCATTGCTGCTCCCCTGCACTCACCCTCATGGTCGCTACTCCCCTACACTCACCCACGTGGTTGCCTCCCTGCACTCACCCACGTGATTGGTGCCGAACTGGTTCTCATGGCCGTCCGCAGTGAGCATGAACGGGCATATCATCACGCTCGCATTGTTGCTGCCCGGGGTGGGGTGGGATAGGGAGGGGTTGGTTGAGATTGGGTGGGCCGTGGTGGGATTGGTTGGGCAGGCGAGTGGGGGGTTGTTGCATAGGAAGTGACGAAGGGAAGGGGACGGTGGGGTGGGTTCGGGGAGAGGGGGAAGGTCTGAACGAGAGGAAAAAATAAGGCGAAACAGTAGAATGACTAGCATAATGGGTAGGTAGGCAGGGAAGCAGGGAGGGAGGGAGCGAGGGAAGGAGGGAAGTGTGTTGTGATGGGGCACGGGGCAGCATGGCAGTGGGGCAGCATGGCAGTGGAGTAGCATGGCAGTGGAGCAGCATGGCAGTGGGGCAGCATGGCAGTGGGGCAGCATGGCAGTGGGGCAGCATGGCAGTGGAGCAGCATGGCAGTGGAGCAGCATGGCAGTGGAGCAGCATGGCAGTGGGGCAGCATGGCAGTGGAGCAGCATGGCAGTGGAGCAGCATGGCAGTGGAGCAGCATGGCAGTGGAGCAGCATGGCAGTGGAGCAGCATGGCAGTGGAGCAGCATGGCAGTGGGGCAGCATGGCAGTGGAGCAGCATGGCAGTGGAGCAGCATGGCAGTGGAGCAGCATGGCAGTGGGGCGGCATGGTAGTGGGGCAGCATGGCAGTGGGGCAGCACTAACAGCAGATCATTTAAGCTCAACTAAACCTGTTATCATAGAAGCCCAATGCCCCTCCATTTACCCCATTCCCCCTATTCCTCCCATTCCCCTCCTCCCGCCCCTCCACCCCGTTACACCCCTGCCCTCCCCCTTCTTCACCCACTCACCCCCTCCCCCTCCCTCGCCCCCTCCCCTCCCCCCCGCACCCCTTCCATCTCCGCGCGTACATGAGCAGGTGCAGCGGGCGGTTAAGGCCCAAGTAATCCGCGGCGAACGCGCGCACCGACTTGAGCGACGCCAAATCCAGCGGCATCACGCTCACGCGCTCGCGCACCGCCGCCGGAACCCCCGCCGCCGCTGCGCTCCGCCCCTCAATGTCCTTGATGATGGTGGCTTTGGCGGCCTCCCCCGCCTCCGTGTTCCGCACCGCGGGCACCACGAACGCGCCTCGCAGCGCCAGCACCCGCGCCGTCTCCGTGCCGATGCCGCTACTACCGCCTGGGGGGAGGAAATTCGCGCCACAAGGGTGTCGGGAGAGGGGGAGGAAGAAGAAATTAGCGCGGCGGAAAGAGAGAGGGGCGACATGCGCGCGTGGGGAGAACATTGGCACGAGGACGAGGTTCGCGCGGGAAGGGGAATTCGCGAGTGCTGAATGAATTTGGGCGCGGGGGAGGAGGAAGGCTGGAGTGGAGGACTGAATTTTTTTTCTGACATGGCACAAACAGCTTTTGAGGCGTCTTACACGCTTTTTCACAAGGGCGCGGGGAAGAGACTAGGGTGGAAAAGAGAGGGGAGTGGAAGTACGGGCAAGGACGAGAGGACGAGAAGACGGGCGGACGAGCGGACGAGCGGATGAGAAAGATCAGTTTGATTGTGAAAGGCGAAGACCAGAAAGAAATGCAAGGGCGGTAAAGACTCGTTGGGTGGAAGGTAGGAGAGTGGGAGAGAATAGCTCATAGTGCCGCTGCACTTGCTGCTCCCGTGCCTCACATCTGCGGTATCAAAGCATCCCTACCCCTCACCACCTCCCCCTTCTCCCCCCCCGTCCCCTCACCACCTCCCCCTCCTCCCCCCCCGTCCCCTCACCACCTCCCCCTCCTCCCCCCCCGTCCCCTCACTTGTCCTCCCTTCTACCGTGCCCTTTTATCCTTTCCCATACCACACAAACACGCAGGATATTTCTGATCCACATTCTCTCCCCTCACCCCCGTAATTCCCCCCTCTTTTCCCTGTTTCTCCCCGTTCCTCTACAATTTGTCTCCCGTTTCCTCCCGTTTACTGCATACGGCGAAACCGAATCATCGATGCTCTTACCCGTTACGATTGCCACTTTGCCGCTCAAATCGACGCCCGCCGTCACATCTTCCGCCGTCGACCGGTAGCCGAACTTTGACGGATCAGCAACCGCTGACGTTGACGTTGACGGACCGGAGGCGGAAGCCATAACGGCGTGGGCGCGCGGAGCCGAGAGGATCAGAGTGGGAGCGAGGGGTATGGCGAGTAGAGCCCAGCGGTAGTGTCGCATGGAAAGAGATTGCGACGAGAGCGACGCTAGCGACGACAGTGGCGACGGAGAGAGAGGACCCACGAGAGACGCGCTGCCGGGACCAGGAACCATACTCTGAACTGAACGGAGCACGCTCACACGACACGACTCTGCTTGGTGCTGGGGTAATGGCGCGGCGACGAGAAATTTGTTATGCGATATCGCCAATTCGCTGCAGAGCCGGAGTGGTAACAAATTTGTAAACTAGGTGCGGAAATGGCATTCACTGCGGAAATACAAGTGTCATCTCGTCTGTCCCCTTCCTGGGTCAGTCAGACTCACCACTGAAAAAGTGTGGGTCCTGAGAGCTCGCACACGTACATGTGGTGCGTAGCGATTGCTCGAGTTAGATCCGGGTTCTTGATCTGTTAGCTACATGCATCCCAGCCTGGCAGAACATCGACGTGTGCCAATGACGCGACAAATGACGTGCGTCGAAATGCTGCGACCACGTGGTCAACCCTAAGAGACGGGCACAGTGTAAGCACAGAAGCGATTAAGAGCCAGAGTGTAGGAGCTACCACTATGGGCATGAAATACCCAACACAAACTATTGCATAGTACCGTATAGTTCCGGCTAGAAGACCCGGGAGACTCTCTACAAATGCTTAAAAATATGCTTGGGTGGACATTATGGCGGTTGCAAATTTTTAAGACCCGGGGTACACTTATTTGTCATATATCAATCTGTCATTTATGGTGTACAGTTCAATTTTGGGCACGGGGGGTCTTATATTCAGAGTTCTCCTCTGGCCTTCTGCAAGCCTACTATCGTGCACGAGGCATCCGTCAGACCTTCACGCTTCCGGACTCTCCGCAGCAAAATGGGATTTCTGAGCGCCGCATTGGCATGGTCATGGACGTCGCTCGTACGTCTATGATGCATGCGGCTGCCCCCCATTTTCTGTGGCCGTTTGCGGTCAGGTACGCGGCGCATCAGATCAACCTTCACCCCAGGGTCTCCAAACCCGAGACCTCCCCTGCCTTGCTGTGGACGGGGAAAGTTGGCGATGCGTCGGCGTTCCGGGTCTGGGGATCTTTGGCGTTTGTCCGCGACTTGTCTGCGGACAAGCTGTCCCCTCGTGCTGCTCCTTGCGTCTTCCTGGGGTTCCCCCCTGACGCGCCTGGGTGGCAGTTCTACCACCCCACCTCTCACCGTGTTCTGTCCTCCCAGGACGTCACGTTTGACGAGTCGGTCCCCTACTACCGCCTCTTCCCCTACCGCACTCCGTCCCTCCCCCCGCCCCCGCTCTTCCTTGTACCTGGTCCCCCCCCGGTAGACCCCCTCCCCCCTCAGGGTCCTGCCCCTTCAGGTGTGTCCTAGGTAGACGCAGTCGAGCGTGTCGAGGTCACTGGTGACTCTGGTGCTGCTGAGGGTGCTGAGCCTGGGGGTGCTGAGACTCGTGGTGCTAAGCCTGGGGGTGCTGGGCCTTGGGTTGCTGAGCCTGGGGGTGCTGAGCCTGGGGGTGCTGAGCATGGGGGTGCTGAGCCTTGGGGTGCTGGGCCTGGGGGTGCTGAGCCTAGGGGTGCTACGCCTGGGGGTACTTTGCCTGGGGGTGCTGAGCCTGGGGGTGCTTCGCTTGGAGGTTCTCCGGGTACTTCGTCTCTGCGGGAGCCACTCTCTCCACAGGAGCTGCGCGAGTGGTTTGCCCGGCGCTGGAGCCGTGCTGCTGGTGCTGGAGGTTCTTCCGCTACTGAGGGTGCTGCTGTCGCGGGTCCCGGAGGTGCTCATACCGTTACTACTGGAGCTGCTGGGCCTGCGGGTTCGACTAAAGCTGGTGCTGCTGAGCGTGATGGCGTTGAGAGTACTGTTGGCGGTCCTGCAGGGGGTAGTCCTGGTGCTGCTGGAGGTTCTGGAGCTGCTGGAGGTGCTGCTGGAGCGGGTGCTCCTGCTGGGGGTACTGGTGCTGTCCCTGCTGTGTCTCGCGTTTCCGCGCGGCCTCGACCGTACTTTGTTCAACTCCTGCAGCAGGTTCTTGGTCTTTGCCTTCTACTAGTCCTCCTCCCTTAGAGTGTCCACAGCCTGTCCCGTCGCAGTTACAGTTACAGCCGGCCTCCCCACTGCCTGCTCCTTCTCCCTACACTGGTCCTACTGAAGGTCTTACTGAGCGTCGTGAGCCTGCGTCTTGCCCTGCGTCGCCTGTCCGTGCTGCTCGCACTAGTGGTGGTGGTTTGCGTCAGCGTCCTCCTCCTGTCCCTTGCATGCACCGGATGTCTCTACGTCCGTCCACTGCTCCTTTGCGTGCCCCTTTGCCTTCTACTCCTGAGCCCTCTCTTCCTACTCTTGCCGACCCGGAGTCGGACTCTCTTCGTGCTGCCAGTCCTACTGTCACGCGTCTCCTTGCTACTGTAGTCACTGACCCTTCCTTCGAGTCTACTGCTGCGTCTGCCCTTGTAGCTGAGCTCGTCGACTTTGCTGCTTGCTATCGCCCAGACTACGCTGCTAGTCTTGTCGCTCAGTCTGAGCTTGTCTGTCCTTCGTCCGTCGGGGGTGAGTGTTCCCTTAGCACGGACGTCCTTGTGGACAGGTAGGAGGAGTTCCAGTGTCTGGCAGCTGCTTCACCTCATCTCGTGTCTGTACTGCTTACCCCTGAGGGAGACCCGGATGCACTTGACATCCCGACTCCGCGCTCTTACGCGGAGGCGATAGAGGGTCCCTACTCCTCTTAGTGGAAGGCAGCTATAGATGCAGAGATGGCTTTCTGGAAGTCCACAGGCACCTACATTGACGTTGTCCCCCCTCCTGGGGCGAACATCGTCAGTGGCATGTGGATCTTTAGGGTGAAGCGGCCGTCGGGTTATCCGCCTGTCTTCAACGCGCGTTACGTGGCTCGTGGCTTCAGTCAGCGGCAGGGAGTTGACTACTTTCAGACCTTCTCCCCCACCCCGAAGATGACCACTCTTCGGGTACTGTTGCACGTTGCTGCTCACCGTGACTACGAGCTGCACTCTCTCGACTTCAACACAGCTTTCTTCCAGGGCAGCCTACACGAGGAGATCTGGCTGCGCCGCCCACCTGGCTTCACTGGGTCTTTCCCTCCTGGTACCCAGTGGAGTCTCCGGCGTCCAGTCTATGGTCTCTGCCAGGCGCCACGTGAGTGGCACGACACACTGAGGACTACGCTTGCGGCTCTTGGGTTTGCTCCTTTTACTGCCGACCCGTCGCTGTTTCTGCGCACCGACACCTCTCTGCCGCCGTTCTACATCCTCGTGTACGTCAACGACTTGGTCTTTGCCACAGCTGACACTGCTGGACTCGCCTACGTGAAGTCCGAGCTGCAGCAGAGACACACGTGCACTGACCTGGGTGAACTGCGCAGCTACCTTGGCTTGCAGATCACCCGGGACAGAGCACGCCGCACCATGACCCTGAGTCAGTCACACATGGTGCAGCAGGTCCTTCAGCACTTCGGCTTCACGTACTCCTCGCCTCAGGCCACTCCTCTGCCCACTCGCCACTCGCTCTCAGCTCTGCCTTCGGATGAGTCCGTAGAGTCGAGTGGCCTGTACCCAGAGCTTGTTGGCTGCCTCATGTACCTGATGACCTGCACACGACCTGACCTTGCATACCCTCTTAGCATTCTTGCATGCTATGTTGCTCCTGGGAGACACCGACCAGAGCACATGGCTGCAGCGAAGAGGGTGTTGCGCTACTTGTGCAGTACGTCGGGCATGGGGCTAGTGCTTGGAGGGCGGAGTCCAGTGGTCCTCACTGGGCACGCAGACGCTTCTTGGGCTGACGATCAGGCTACGCAGCGGTCGTCACAGGGTTACACCTTCAGCCTTGGTTCCGGCTCTGTTTCGTGGCGGGCTACCAGCTCGTCTTCTGTTCTCAGCTCCAGTTGTGAGGCTGAGATCTACGCCGGGGCTATGGCTGCCCAAGAGCTTCGCTGGCTCACCTACCTGGTGACCGGCCTTGGAGAGCCGCCTGGTTCTCCTCAAGTCCTGTATGTAGACAACAAGGCTATGCTGGCCTTGTGTCGAGAGCAGCAAATGGAGCACAGGACAAAGCACATTGCTCTCCGCTTCTTTCTTGCACGTGAGCTACAGCAGCGTGGACAGTTGCGGCTTGCGTACGTGGCCTCTGAGGCCAACACTGCTGATGTTTTCACCAAGGCACTTGCGCCTTGTGATCATCAGCGCTTCTGCACTCAGCTAGGTCTTGTCTCTATTTTGCCTCACTTACTCACCTCTTGACCTTGCTTGTACTATTACATATATATATACCTGCTCTTGCTTGTCTAGCCTTATATATATATGTACTCCTGCATGTAAACCGGCCTTGTGGCCTTGAACTTGTGCTTAGAATGTGTGGTGACTTTGTGATCCACCCTGAGCTTTGCTTTGCTTTGCCTAACTGGTCTTGTGACCCCCTGTTCTCCCCCACTTTGCCTATGGGGGTGTGTCAGAACATTATAGCTTATGCTATTTTGTAGGCTATAATGGGGTATCCCATAGGGGGTACAACCCGATTAGGGTTTCCTATATGTACTCACTTCATTCATAGTTCATTCATTCTCGTTCTACTTTTCTCAGTTGCCCGTGTGCCAGTTGCTCCAGTTGCGCCGTATGCCAGCAGCTTCAGCTGCCGCCCACTACCTCCTCTCCTCTCATAGTCCCTCCTCCTCCACACTAGCCCTCTGCGATAGCCTCTAGCTTTGCTCATA